TCCCTTTCTTTCTCCCTCTCTTCCCCTCTCTCTAAAAATAAACAAATAAAATCTTAAAAAAAAAAAAGAAAAAGAAAAACCATCTAAGAAACATGCAACCAATTCTTCTAGGTTGTATCCTTAAGTCATATCAAACCAGTAAGAGGACACACACCCCCCAACACCCACACAAGTATTTGTATTTATATATTTATTTACTCTTACACCACAATTTTTACCTCCATTACCTTTAATATTATGTCAGCTTATTAAGAATCGTTACAAAATGTAGCTCTATAAAAATTTAGTCTGTATTTGTTATAATGTTTTACCCCCCTTCTTTACATTGTTTTTGTAAAGAATAATGTAATTTATTGTGGGTAATCCTCTCTCCCTGCCCCTTTTGTTGCGCTAGCTGCCAAGAAGTTCAGGTAAATTTTACAAATTAAGCACATTAAATAAACTGCCCTTTAGAGAGAGCATATTTATATCCTCCGTTTTTCTCAATTCCAAATTCTCATTTTATGTTTTATTAATCTTACTTATTTAGTTACAAAGTGCCTTAAATCAATCAGGTGTAATTTATAAATGCTTTCATGAAAAAACAAAACAAACAATAGAAACAGTTTACTTCTTTTCTGAACCAGTAAAAAGTATAAGTAACTAATAATAATTCTATCCCTACAGAGAGGGGGTTAAAGTTCCCTACCTAAAATCCAGGCTGGAAATGTACTTATTCAAGACAAAGAGTGTATAGGACCTAGGCTTCCAAAAGTGTCAAATAGTTATAGTGCAGGAAGAGTAGAAAGCTTTCATTTCAGTTTTTGTTATAAGTAGTAACAATTTTGGGAGATCTAACACTGCAATCCACTATGAACACCAACCCCAACACTGTCTAGCTATCACGTGCTTCCTTTTCCCCTATTCATTCACCTTACACAATTAGCAAATTATATACACACTTCAGTGTCAAATCTATGACTAAATCCTCCACCAAGAAAGAACACACTGCAAAAGAGACTAAGTCTGCCCTGACTGGTGTGGTTCAGTTGGTTGTATATCACCCTGCAAAGCCAAAGGTGGCAGGTTTGACTCCTGGTAATGGCATATGCCTGGGTTGCAGCCAGTTGGGTGTGTGTGAGAGGTAACTGATCAATGTTTCTCTGGCACATTGATGTCTCTCCCCCTCTCTCTCTAAAAATAAGGGAGCAGCTAAGTCTTTTATATTATAATATAAAAATATTGTAATACTGGTTAGTTATGAAATACTAATATAAAAGGTATTAAAATATTAATGGCCCCTTGAAAAGTAAGTTAATCACTATTTAGGTTCAAAATTTCTGTTTTGATCCATGGGATACTACTCCATCTGTTCTTTGATTTTTTGTCTCCTTCATCTTTCAAAATTTATTCCAAATTATCTTCCTTCTTTTGATATGCTCTCCCTGTTGAGATTTTTAAAGTTTCCTAAATCCTATTTTCATTTATACAATTCATACTTTTACATTCTTTCAACATCACTGCATCTACCCCACAAGATGATCTGGCTCCCTGACTCACTGATCGCAAATTATCCTTGTCCTGGATCCTTATTGGACCAGCTCACACCAATTGTTACGACAATCAGTAACACACTTCAGAGCAGAACAGAGCTCTAGCCCCACTACTTCTAGGTTATTGGTGACCCTTTGCCCAGGGCTAAAAATAGTCGCAGCTGCTTATTCATCAGTCAAATTATTTTTAGGTTTGCCCACATACACCCCTCCCCCCAAGGTCTAAGGACAGCAGGTTGATTTCAATAAGCAAAAGCAGATGTTAAATTATGCTCACAATATCTTTTTATGTCACCATAATACAGGTTTTTAAGTCTGTTGACAAAATTACACACTTGATTTTCCTCTCCTCTTAAAATTTTTTCCTTCTAAGCCTACGTATAATAATCAGGTTTCTGAAATTATAAAACAATGACAAAAGAATTCTTGTTATATAAGTAGATACAGCTGAGAGGATATTTTTTCCTACTGACATATTATAAAAGGAGTGATATGTCCCTAGCAGCAAAGTAGCTTATTTTCTTAATTATCAGTCCCACACAGAGTCAGGGAAACTGTGTACTCTAGCTGCTATTATGAGTTATTTTCAGTCCAGGCAATGACAGCAACTGGAACAGGCCAGAGACAGTATCAACCTGTTGTGTAAGTCAAAGACCCCAAATTTAAATTAGGATGTCAAATTTCTCAGACTGAGATTTATTTTAACAAGATCTGAATTTCCTCATAGATATGCAATTTCTCTACATCCAAAACGACGTAAGTTTACATTATTACCTTCATTTTTTAAAAAAGTCAAAAGCCTGATATCAGCCCTGGAGAGTTTATAATCCCGTGGAGACAGGAATAAACAAATAAATGTATAATCCCAAATCGTGACAAATGCCAACAAGGTAACCAGGGTAGCATGATGAAGAATAGGATAAGGAAGGGAGTAATCTAGATAGAATGATCAGAGTGGTCCTCTCTATAAAGCTGATGCTTAAGGTGAGAGAGAAATGTGAACAGAAATTAACCAAAGCCATTTTGTCAACAAATATTTATTGGGCATCTACATTTGCCAGGCTCTGTTCTAGGTGGTGGTTATATAACCACAAACTAAGACATATGGGACCTCACCATCAAAAAGCTTACATTCTGGCCTGACGGGTATGGCTCAGTGGGCTGGGTATTGTCATGCAAACCAAAAGGTCGCCAGTTCAATTCCAGCCAACCGGTGTTTCTCTCACATATCCATGCTTCTCCCCCTTTCTTCCTCTCTCCAAAGATAAATAAATAAAAATTTTTTAAAAAATCTTACATTAAAAAATAAACTATGACAAAGATAAACTAGGATAAATGTGATAGAGCCAGGAGGATTGGGCTACTTTAGCTAAGTTATCACCCAAGTCCTCTCTCAGAGAATAACACTGAATTGAGATCTGACTAAGAGAAGACAGCAGGGCAAGATCTGGTGAAAAACACTGCAAGTAGAAGAAATAGTTGATATACAAAGGCCCCAACATGGGATCATGCCTGAGGGAGGCTTGAGGGAGGAACAAAATGGCAGTAGTGACTAGAGCAAAGTTGGTGAGAGATGACATCAGAAGGGGCAGGAGCCAGAACCTGGAGTTTTCAAATCATTATTTCTGTTGAAATAGGAAGTCTCTGCAATAGAGTGGTACACTTCAGAATGCTCAGTCCAGGTAGGAATGGGAGAAGCGGAAGGTTAGAGGGTTGCAGGGCATGCACTAAAGTCCTAAATTGGCAAGGCACTTGGAAGTGAAAGGAGATCCGTTGCAGACAGAAACTATATACACAAAGGAGGCCAGAATCGTGGGCAGGGGGCCCATTCTGTAAACTGTGGTAAGAAATGCTAATTTGGAATTTGCACTTTTATTTGAAATGCAATGGAAAGTCAAAACAGTTATAAATAGGGGAAGGAATGACAACCATGACTAGATGTATATTTGAAAAAGGTTACTCTGGCTGTTCTGTGGAAAAATTACCAGAAGAAGGCAAAAGGGAGTAAGGACCTGTTAGGATGGTTCAAAGAAGTGATGTAATGGTGCCTTCGACTACAGTGGGTAACAATGGAGAGGACAAATTGTATACGAATTCTAGACACATTTTGGAGGTTTGCTAAGTTGGATGTTGGGGTTTAAGGGAATGAGAAGAATCAAAGATGACTCCCAAGTCTCTGGTATCCAACAAAGGTAAACAAGTAATTCTTCCAAAATGGGACACTAATGACTTTTGGTGACTATGGCAAGCATTTCTGACTCACTTCCTCAAAAGAAAGAAAAAAAGGAGGTAGGGGAGGAGGAGGGAAAAGGCCAACTTGAAGTAACTCACTATAGCTGTGTTCCTGACTAACAGCTACTCTATGGAAAATGTAGATCGCAGAAGATACTGTGACACAACTTTTTAGAGATCTAGGATTTTAAAAGCTGCAGAAACTTTTCTGTCAGCCAAACAAGCTAATTTTAGGCCTACAGACATGTGCCTTGGCCGGGTGAGAACCATCTCCACCCCCATGCAACACAAAGACTAAGACTCCTAGAAAGCAAGCAAGACATTAATGAGACATGAATTGTCTCTAAATGAACATTTCATGATAAATTATTGCTATATATAGTAAATATAAAAGAAAAAAAGAAGTATAAGACAAAGCTTTAGCACAGACTAAAGAAAGTTTCCAAACCTAAAATTCAATCACAGAACAGGAACTTTTCATGTTGAAACAAGAATCTAAATATACACATTTAAAATTACTATTATAACTTTAAAGTCTATGATTCATACTTGATGCAAATTTAAAGAATTTTATTGTTACTTCTATGGGGGCAAATTCTATAAAAACTAATAAAAATAATGTCTATAAAAAGTTACGAACACATTAAAGAAAATAAGTATTTTACCTTAAGCTTGTCAGAGCACCAAAAGAATTATATTGATTTTTTTATACCCTGGCCGGGTAGCTCAGTTGGTTAGAGCTTCATCCTGACACACCAAGGTTGTGAGTTCGATTCCCGGTCGGAGCACATACAATAATCAATCAATGAATGTATAAATAAGTAAAACAACAAATCAATGCTTCTCTCCCCCCCCCTTTCTCTAAAAATCAATAATTTTTTAAAAAACCCTTTTTATATTGAGTGTGAGCAAAGTGTGTGCTAGAGGCTTTACACAGATTATTTCATGAAATCTTTCTAACAATCTTTTAAGATAGGCGGTATTGTCTCCATTTTCCATATGAAGATTAAAGTGGTTCACAGGGTCTAGTAACTTGACCAAATTCATGAAGTGGAAAAACCCCAAAACCTCGGCCAGGTCTCATGTACTTCAAAGTCCAAGGCAGTAATTTCTTTACTTCACTAAAAGGAGGTCACCTGATTGTTGGCTCTAGAAGTCTCACAGAATCTAAACTAGTGATTAGACCTTCAGACTTGGCAGTCTACTACATAAAGTGAGTAAATTAGCATCACTTACCATATCTGTAGCTTGATCTTCTTTCCTTGTAATTCAACTGTTTTGATCTTAAAGTCTATTCCTACAACACAGAAAAAAAAAAAGGTAAATTGTATCTGAACTGGTCTATACTAAAATTAACTGGAATAATAAAAACACTTTTAAAATCGGTTTATGTATGTTTGGCCCTGGATATTCAACAAGTATGCATCTGAGCAAATGCATCAAATTTTAAACCTGAATAATAATATAAGATCCAAGATGGTAAAGAAATAGCTATATAAAGTTAGTTCTTACAACTGGAAAATAAAAATGTACAATTTAAAATGTCTAATGCAAAGAAATAAAAGATGTTTCCTAGTTGGAAAAAAGTACAGCCTTCCTATCTTGCAGAGCAAAAGAAAAACTGAGATAAAAATCTTCAGCTTAGTCCCATTATGTTTCCCATACCCAACACAAAAAAGTAGGGGGTAGGGAACACTTGCCTCACGTTTACAAACCTCAGATTACAATGTCTACAGCCTCAGACTATGTCTACACTTGTCTGGCTTCTAAAAACATGAGTTTTTGTGCACAAAAAAGCATTTCATGGAAAGGAACTTTACAGGGTGGTCTGATCATCAATTCCTAACTGGGCAGGACATGGTGGGTAGTCATGCCCAAGGTTTATAACTTCTTTAATAAAAGACTTACCTTTGCCTAAGAAATCCCTGTCCATTCCTTCTGTCCATCTAGGCCAACACACCTTTGCAATGCCTCTTTTTAGACCCCTCCCTCTAAAGCACGATCACCCCCGAGAGTATATAATCTCAACTATCCTGTAACCCAATTTCCACCTCGCTTTCTCTCACCTTCATAATCTTTCTTAAATTCCCTTCTTAATCTCAAAAGCATAAAAGAAACTGCAAAAGCTGTTATTCTCAGAATCATCTGAGACCTTACTTTGCCATGGGTTTAGGCTCAGATAAACTCTTATAAAAATTCTTTATACGTTTGGATGTTTCTTACTTTGACAGTCTGTATTTTTATTTCTCTAGTAATTATTAAGAAAATCATCCTGAAATGGTCTGATGGTCAGGACCAACTCTGAACAAGACTATTCCAGTTAGGCATACAATTTGTTAATTAATCCTAATGGCAAACCTGACAACAAGTACTATTTCAGAAAATTTTTCTAAAGAAAGGTGAAATTAGGATACAGTCTGAAAACTCTAACTGGGATGAAAACCAGGTGCAACTGGAAAACTTCTAAGGATTTAGGCTGTTTTGGGTAAAGGCACCTATTTAAAATAGAAACCTCATACTAGATTCCCAGAGGTTCCCTCCACTCTCACCATCTCATGCTGCCTATTCTCAAATTAATTAGCAATAGTTGAAGCAATTTCTCATTCTTTTCTGCACAAAAACTCCTGGCATGTTCGCCTCTCTGGTTACTCTTCAATCTTCATTACTGGTTTCTCATCTTTCTGCCCTTCTCTAAAAATTGGAATGGACTCTTTTCTATCTTCACTCATTTCCTTGATTTGCAGAAATTTCATGGCTTTAAATTCCAAATACAACACTGATAACTCTCTAATTTTATCACAGCCCTGATCTCTCTCCTGAACTTCAAACTTAAGATATCCAAGTCCTTATTGGCTGTCTCCAAATACAGTCTTTCACAGACGAGCAACAGTGCTTAAAATAGTCCACAATGCCCTACATTTTCTGCCTGCCTCCCCCTTTCCACCCTGACCTTATCATTTCTTATATGTTACTCTGACCTGACTAGCTGTATTGATGTTCTTGTTGTTCCACACACAGAGCCAGAAGACTCGCACCTGAAGGTCTTTGCATATATGGTTCTCCCAACCTGAAATACTCTCCCCCATCATGGCGCCTTCCCCTAGCTCCCCTATCCTAAGCTGCGAGCAATGCTTTCCCATGTCCCACAGCGCCCCCCCCCCCGCCACATATCCATTGTCTGTCAATACTCCCTAATCGTTTTTTTTTTTTTTTACAAAAGATTTTATTTATTTACTTTTAAGAGATAGGAAAGGAGGAAGAAAGGGAGAGAAACATCAATGTGAGAAACATCTACTGGTTGCCTCTAGTACCCACCCTGACCAGGGATCAACAGTGGGATGACGCCCAACCAACTGAGCCACCAGTCAGGGCTCTCTTCCTTACTTTTTATCTTTTACCATTCCTCAAATATACTGTATATATTTACTTATATCTATTATTTATTATCTGTTCTCCTTTGCAAAAATAGAAGATCCACAATAGTAGGGATTTTTTATGTTTAATTCAGTTAAATTCCCAGTACGTAGAGCTATGACTGACATATAAGCATGAATTCAAATTTGCTGAATAAACAGATAGATGAAGCTTTCTAGAGAAAGTAGAAGGGTACCTGAGAAAAAGACATACAGACAGTTCACCATAAGGGTGAAACTCATCACTTGACAAGCTCCACACTTGTCCACTTAGCTTCCAATCAACTTTTTAAAGCCTCAGGTCAAAACATGAACACCAAAACAGGTAAGCAAACAAACCAAAAAAAGTGAACCTGGAGGAAGAACATGAAGGAAGGGAGGGAGGGGGGAAGGGAGGGAGGGAGGGGAACCGGAACCAGAAAACTCCTATAAATAATTTATTCAAGAAGGGTGTATGAGGGTCCTGGCCTGGTAACTCAGTTGATTAGAACATCTTCCTCATATACAGGTTTGATTCCTGGTCAGAGCACATACAAGAATCAACCCATAAATGTATAAATAAGTAGAACAACAAATCGATGCTTCTCTCTCTAAAAAATCAATACAAAAGAAAAAAAAGGATGTAAGAGAAAATTGAGATCTCCCAGAAAATACAACAGAAAGAAAAAAAATATATATATATGATTTAGAAGACCAAATCAGGAGGTCTGACATCTAATAGGAACTCAAGAAAGAACAGAGAAAAAATGACATATAACAAATAATTTTAAAATTATACAACAGAAAAGGAATCTATTTTAGACTGAAAGACCCACCACCAAGTGCCTAGCATAATGAATAAAATAAGATCTGTACCAAATAATAACATCATGACATTTTAGAACATCAGAAATAAAGATAATATTAGAAAAGCTTTCAGGGAAACAAACTGGGCTAAAGAAATGAACTAGCTAATGAACAATCCAGAATGACAACTCTGAATTTCTGACTTCTTAACAGCAACAACTAGAATCCAAAATGCAAAAAGATAATGTCTTTAAATAGTATTTTCAACAAAAACAAAAATTAAGCAAACAGCTAGAACAGGAACAGAATCACAGAAATGGAGATCACATGGAGGGTTATCAGAGTGGAGGGGTTGGGGAGCAGAATGCGGGACAAGGTACAGGGAATAAGAAGCATAGTTGGTAGGTACAAAATAGACAGGGGGAGGTTAAGAATAGTATAGGATTTGGAGAAGCCAAAGAACTTTTATGTATAACCCATGGACATGAACCAAGGGGGGAGGGAATATTGGTGAGAGGGGGATGCAGGGAAGAGGGGGAGAAAAGAGAGAGAAAGAAATGGGGTAACTGTAATAGCATATTAATAAAATATACTGTAAAAAAAAAAAAGTACTTTCAACCTATATCCACTCAAAAGCAAATGAGTAAAATAAAAGCATTTCCAGACTTTAAAAAACCTCAAAATATATATCTCTTATGTATGTTTTATAAGACAGCTATTAGAAAGAAACTGCTTTACCAAGAATAGGAAGAAAGGAAATCCAGCAAAAAGAGTGAGGTAAAAGGCAGTTCAAACTGGCCTAGAGAGAAACCAGTTCAGAAGAGAATGAGGACAGAAAGAACAGAAGGAATGAAATGAGAAGTTCCAAAGGTACTCCTCCTAGGAGGAGGAAGGGAAGAAATGGTATTAGTGGAATTTGTATGAAATGCAGAATTGAGAGGGTTTGGCAATTTTGCTGTAGAGTCTGGGATAAAAAATGGAGAGTACCTGAAACTGAAACGGAAGTAACAAGGAAGGAAGTGTAAACTACAGTAAAAACAAAAAGTTGCCCTAGAGATGAAAATGCAATTATAGTACACTACTTGGCTTAGCAGTTAACAAAAACTTTTTTTTTGTTTAATAAAATAATGTAATAACTATTTCAGAAAATAAAGGGAGAGGTACCAGGAATGCCCGGTGGTACGAATACTCAATTCTCATCTTCCGTAACAGCAGAATTTCTAAAAATAGTTTTGTTTTGTTTTGAAGTTAAAAGCATGTAACTAGAGAATATGGGGTTGAAGAAAAAGCAAAATATGTTTGGGAAATATAAGAGAGGTGGGTGTGGGGTAAGGATTTGTTGTTGCTGCTGCTGTTGTCATAACCCTTAAAGTACGTTCTGACTTCTAAAATCCTGTACTTATTATATTAACGGACGTAAAAATTAGGCTAATATAAGCTATATTTACAGTCTGCTCTTTCCACTACTTAAACACTTCAACTGATCATAATTCTATCATGGCCTCAGGCCAACCCTGCCATCTCATTCCCTCCAGTCTTCCTTCTGTAGTCACATTCAAACACAACTTTTACAGCTGTGCACTTGCCAAGTAAATACCTTTGTCACTCCAGAATGTACTGGGTTGGCCAGAAAGTTTTTTCGGTTTCTTCCCCTGTAAGATGGCTTTAGTAGCACTCAGTTATCTTTAAATCCATTTGAGTGCTCCCTTTGGCTGCACATATCTAAATCGGTTTGGACTTCCAGTCAAGATGGAGGTATAGATAAACACAACCTTCCTCCGTGCACAACCACAGCAAAAATTACAACTAGACTACAAAACAATTATCACCCAGAATCATCAGAAAATTGAGCTGTATGGAAGTCCCGAAACCAAGGAATTGAGTCATATTCATCCAAATCAATAGGAGGGGTGGAGACCTGGAGACGTGGAACAGGCAGTCCCACACCCAGGTGTGGTGGCTAAAACTCAGGAGTGATACTTTGGGAGCAAGGGATCCCAGCCCCAAAGGAGACCATGCAGCCCAGGGTTCCACTGCCAGGAAGTAAGTCCCCATAACTCCTGGCTGTAAAAACCAGTGGGGTTTAAGGCAGCTGAAG